GGCATGACCAAAAGTTACTCTACGGAGTACCCTTGGAGTAAAGATCGCATAATTCGACAAAAAAAGGAAGGGGAAGGGATCGATACCTGATACTGAGATAGGTTGGCAAGTTCGCATTGACCTGGGACTTGTGCGCAACTCCATCTACAGATCTAGGAAATGTCTCAAATGGAGGTATAACTACGTTGCAGCACTCCGTACTCCATAGTCAACAGTCGGGAGTCGGGATCTTTAGCCGGGTGTCAAGTAACAGACTCTCCCTATTGTCCGCAGTAAGCATCTTTCCCCAACATCACTCAGGGTGGCCATGGAATCACCCCACGTTGTTCGCATTCCTGCGGCCAAGTAACAATAGGAATGCACAACACTGCCAGACCCACTCGAAAGCGGCTGCATCAACGTTTTAAAGGAACACAGAAATGAAAGAAAAAGGAAAAAGGGAGAGGAAATGAATAGAGATGAAACAATGGGAGTTTCAAGACGAGATCAATCCAAAAAGAAATGGTGCCACTCGGAGCTAGTACAGATTGAGTCTAATGTGCGCATTGTTGCGATCAGGGCACCTGCGGTTGTGAGAGTTGCTCAACATTTTGCAGTGGAACAACGATGCACCAAGTTGAATTTTGTGAGATGGAATTGGAATTACCTGGTTCTTAGGATTTTACAACGTAAGGCTAAATGGCGATAGAATGGAGCTAGGGTTGTTGGACCAACAGGCAGCCATCTCGGTCCGTAGCGCAACGATGACAGCGCGAAGGCAAAAACGGCCAAGTGCCGGCAATGAGACACTTAGAGCCGAGTTTCACCAAAGTCCTATCTGAACGATTCCTATATCATTGTGTGGTTATGGGTGAAATATGTTGGGTGGAAGGCCAACGATTGTACCACCATGTGATCAGATCAAAAGCCAGACAATACTTCAAGGACAGAAGTTCTGTCGATGGCTCGGCTGAGCTGACTGGATCCCTACTGCATCTCAGACAAGATCCGACTTGCCCCGAAGTACCCGAGCGAGACTCCCCCGGTTTTATATCGCATAGCTAGCATGTGCAAAGCTTGGTGCGTAGTTCGGATAGTTAGTAGAGTATTGAGTGATTACAGGTGATCAAAACTAAACATTGAAAATCCCCTGCAGAGACACTCAGGAGCGAACCCGGTGCTTCATGCAAATGTGTCAACCCCGCAACGCTGGGGTCGACCGCTTTAACTGCATCACTGAACTCATTTCAATTCTCGAGGACCCAACTATGTATCTTTGCTTTTGCGGGTGAGAAGACCCTTCAAAGCATCCGTTTCACCTTCAAGCTTTGAACACCGAAGTTTCCAATCATCTCTTTCCTTCCGGACCTTCTCTAACTCGGCTTCGAGTTCCTTCATCCGATCCACACGTCTCTGTCGACATCTCCGCGCTGCAAGGGTATTAAGTTTGCGCTTTTCCACTCGTGACGTCTCAACGCGGCTTATATTATCATCGCCTTGGGAAGTAGAAGGGCTGGAGAGAGAAATGGAGACGAGAGCAGGGAATGGAGATAGAGGGGAATGATACAAGTGGCCATCTTTTAAACGGTAAGAACAAGACCCCTTCAAATTGGAGAGCATGATCATACCTGGCGAATTGGAGAAGCTAGGAGCTAGAGGCACATAGCTTTGGTGCTCGATTGATCCGGAGTCCGAAAGAGAGTTCGAAGCCGAGACAGACCCATACCCAAGATCCATGACGGAGACATCGCCACCGTCATGGCCAGGAGGGTACGGCATCAGATGATCAACAGATAAGAAATTCCAATCGGTATCGGCAAAGAACATATCGGGTTCTGCCCAGAGTGCCGACTCGTGCGGGGGGTCCTCAAATGATGGACAGACTGGCACAGCCGAGGGAAAGCCTTCCAGCGGCGGCGCCAGCGTTGAGAAGAGGTCGTTATCACTGTACGGATGAAGACTCGCCCATGGCGAATATTCAGCAGGCCCTTGAAGGCGTTCCTGCGTGCCAGTGCTGGGCGGGTTGGAACTAGTAAGTGGAGATCTGGATCGCCGCCGCGGCGCTCGAACAACTGCAGGCGGACATCGCTGGATTGCTTAGACGGGCCTTTGCAGACCCGTGACGCTTTTATCTCAAGACAAAGAGAGGAAAGCCTAGGATAACTGTCGATAGAGGCCTAGGATAACTGTCGATAGAGGGTCGACTCTGTAGGAGTCCTAAGGAAGAAATTGAAGGGCATGGCCAGGCCATAAATAAGAATCGGAAGACCACGGGATGAACCGCAGCACCACATGGGCCCACAGTGAGCATCATGTGATTGGTTGTCCATAGATCGTTGCCTCAAGACTCGCCTCAAGACTCATTATGACTCATTTTAGTGTCACTCAATTGACCAATCACAGAATCTCTGGAGTCCGCTGTGTGTATAGGTAGGACATGATTAGCGAACACCCCCAAGGCTGACGGTTACATTTTAACATCCAAGCTCCTTGGGTTGAACTTTTGCATAAAAGATTCACTAGTAAACATGCTCGCGAGATGGACTGCTGAGAATACCTGAATCTACTGTTGAACAGCTGCCATTGAGATTCAATCATTACAAGATTGGATAAGTTCAGAGTGGCTATGGTAGTCCACAATGACCACCCACACCACAAGGTATCATACCAAGGTAAAGATCGATTATTGCATAATGATCAGCTCTAAAGCTTCCATATATGTGATACCTATCATCAATACCTCCCTTAAGCACGCATCCACTACTGGGGGGTAAACACTATGTTGTTCAATCCTGCTCCGTTGGAGTCCACGAGGATTACGACAATCGAAGCAGCATGCAGATTTTTTGGATACCTCCATGCAAACCCTCGGTGGTCCCTCAAGATCACGCCCGATGAGGTGGAGCTGATCTATTTCATTGTTCTGAATCATTCAGGCCCAGGACAGACTGGCACCGACGACTCTGTGGTGTCTTTTTCCACCCATCTAAACCTTGTGTCAACCCACTTCGCTTTCCCGAGGTCATGGTTGACTATTAAAGGACGAGCGCAAAGGGCAGCGCAAATCTTTCTCCAAGACGCCAAGCAAATGTTCTTCATGACAGATGCTTTTCATGATTGGAAAAAACAACTCTTCACAACATCAATACTTAATCTGCCCAATGAGTTATTGCAGCGCATTGCAGCTCTGTTGCCGATGAAGTTTCTCGTTAGACTCTGTCGACTGAATCGCCGTCTCTCTAACGTGATAGGATCTGAGCTCTGGAGACCGCTAGACAGGGCTCTCAAGGCACTGGCGTGGAGCTTGAAACACTGCCATGTGACAGTTTTGAAAAGGCAGTCGAAAGACTCTCGAATGTTCCTGAAAGTATGTCCAATGATTCTACGTGGGAATTGTTTCCTGCGACGGACACCAACAATATCCACATGTTGGAGTGTATGGCTTCAAAGGGCGGTTTTGTTGGGAAATTGTATCGCCAATTCCTTACAGACACGCTACGTTACAATCTGGAATGGCGAAACCCCGGATTTCTATCCGTTGAAGGGCTCCTTAAACTAGGGGTGGATCCGAATTGTCTAACTGTCATTGGTGACCCCGTTCTTCGCGAGTTAAACCTTGGGCGTGTTCCAATACTGTTGCTGGCAATCTGTGGTTGCCGCAATCTTTGCGCTGATATCTTGAAGCGGTTGAAGGGATATGAGCACAACAAATACAGTGTTTCAAAGCAAAGAAGAAGCGTCAATTATGTTCACCTTTTGCTCGAATACGGGGCTGATCCAAATACCCACTTATCCGACAGAACATCGCCACTTCATGTGGCAGCCTCCCTGTGCAAGACCATGGGCAAGCCACAAATTGTGACAAAACTGATCAGATATGGCTCCAATGCCAACGCGATTGGCCCCCATGGTAAAACACCTCTTCACGTGGCTGTCGGTCGAAATCATTGTTACAAGTCCCACGCTCCCTGCAAAGACACAATCAATGCCCTTCTTCAAGCTCCAGGGATTGACCTCGACCCACGTGACGAGAATGGGCGTACGCCCTTGAGCATTGCTGTTGGCCTTAACATGTCCGTCTCTGTTTGGTTTGTTGAAACAATGCTTAACAACCCCAACGTTGATATCAATTCCCAAGACATTCATGGGAAGACGGTATTATATCATTCGGTGGAGAGCCGAAACATCAGAGCTGCTGAGCTGTTGCTATCGCAGAGTCACATCAACCCGAATCTAAATACTACGTACTTGCCCTTGTTTTTCGCCGTTTCGAATCGGATGGAAGCGATGGTGAAGAGTTTGCTAAGCACAAAGGCAACTGACCCAAACCGGAAAGACAGCAGAGGGCGTCTCGCTTTGACGCTGCCAACATCAAATGAGATAATCAAGCTGCTTATCAAAGCCGGTACCAAGCTGGACATTCCAGATAGCACAGGTCTGACCGCACGGGAAACAATCTTCCAGGCGGGCATCGATATTGAGCAGCTAATGCGCGCAAGTGAAATAGGGAAAAAGAAGAGTCGACGTTACTAGCTACATTCGTACCCCCTTTCAGTGCTATGTTGTTTTGGGCTTCAGTGTAATGGGTGCTAGACGGTTGCTGGAATTGTTTAGGTCTACTTTCTCAATTGAATATTTCGCAATTCCAGTGTTCTCAGAGGAACAGGTATCAAATTACCACTTAAGCATAGCTCTTTCCCTAGTATTCTCCTCATTACTGCCTCATTGCGACCGCAGCCTCTTTAAAGAGTTCAGACCGAATCGTACTTAATTCTTATCTCCCAGACCTACCCAAAGACGTGATCCGTTTCGCCCACCTTCTCGGAGCCTTCTTTCAAACAGAGAACTCATGGACCGCATGCCAGACAAGGTCGATTCAACCCTCAAGACAGTGAGGGGAGAACATCGCTTTGGGCCTGCATCGCCGTCAGCCAGTTTGAAATGGCTCGTCCCCTCCTATCACAGGATAGACTTGATCCAAGTCTTGGTCCAGCAGAGGCTTTTCTATAATTGCTTGCTGTTGGTCTTAATCAGCAACAGATAGTGGAGCATTTGCTAGAATCGAGGCGACTCGATATCAACAAGCAAACTAGCACGTGGCAACCCGCTCTGTTGAAAATTATTGATGTAGGCAATAAGGAAGTCATTAGGATGCTTGCTAAAGCTGGTGCCAGCCCGAATGTTGGAATGAGCAAAGGCAAAACAGCACGACAGCAGATTATGGCCGTAGGTGTTCGTGTCAAATGGAAGACTCGCCTAGTATAAATTGAAGTTCAATAGCGCCCTTACTCCGTTGCTTCGTTGCTTCGTTACTTCTGGTCCCTTTTTTATTCGTGCTTTGTAGTTGATGGATTGTGATGAAACAAGCAAAACAGAAGAAAGAAAAAAGAAATTCCCTGTTAGCTATAAATCACCTATCATTGTGGAAGTGTAACCTATACTACCCCTGGTCAATAGCTCTGAATCTCTCTTGTTTCCAAGTCAAAATTGGAGCTTCACCGCACAGTTCCTGGTTGGTGTGCATAACAAGTGGGGCATATCCTTTTGGTTCGCTTTGTCGATAGAGGTGTAGACATTGAGTCTGCCGTGTGACAGTTGATATGTTTTAGAAATTTGGCCGATCCCTGTTCAACATAAGCCAAGGTTATATATAGGAATAACTGCTGAAGATGGAGACCTCTAGACCTCTCTCCGTTGTTGAGGATAGTTTACTCTTGCTCTTCTTGAAGGCTACATTAGGCACTTCGGTCTTCTAATAGTGGGATGTAGTCATCGCTTAGGATTTCATGACCAAAATGCATTGTATTAAACCCAGACAATGAGAGATCAAGGTCAAATCCTCTTGTGACAGGCCCATGGTCTGACTACTGGGCAGCGGCTGAGTCAGCCAGCACAGCACGGCCATCTGGGTAGAAAATGACAAAATCCAAAGCCCAGTACTTTGACTGCAAAGAATTAAAAAAAAAGCACTTAATTCTCACCAGATCCCTAAAGAAAAGGGATCTTCGTCAAGCTGAATTCTCTGAGGTCGACCCTATTGCGGGCCCGACTAACAACATCGCGGGTCCATTCGTTGACACAGATCCGTGCCCCTCCTCGATTTTCTCTTCTTCCACTCTCAACCCCCCCACGAACATACACCATGGCCACGGCAGCAGCTCCCGAGACCTCTCTCCTCTCTCTTCTTTACCGGTCGTACCCTGCCGTCATCTCTTCCGATTCGACCGAGCCTGACTATCTCCACGCCTCCGCCAAGATCTTCCCCCAGGTCACCTTCAATGAGGCAGAGGAAGCTGACATCAAGCAATGGCTCAACACCGTCTCTGGCCTGAAGAATTCTCTCGCTCATGACCAAAAGGATGTCACCGCTGGAATTCTTGATCAGCTGAACATCCACCTCGCCACTCGCACCACCCTCCTCGGCGCGAAGCCTTCGGTCGCCGACGTTGCCATCTACGCTCTCCTGGCCCCCGTCGTTGAGAAATGGACCCCCGAAGAGCGCACCGGAGAGAAGGGTTACCACCACATCGTGCGTCACCTCGACTTCGTGCAGAACGGCCGCCTGTTCTCGCTCCAGATCCCCGAGGAGGAGAAGGTCGCCATCGACCTGAACGACGTCAAGTTTGTGCCCAAGCCCGTCGACCCCAAGGAGGAGAAGGAGCGCAAGAAGCGTGAAAAAGCCAACGCCCAAACCCCCGATGCCAACAACGAGTCTAAGCCCCTCGTGATCGGCCAAGGCAAGGCCGAGCAAGCCGCCAAGGCCCAGACACAGGCCGGTGCCGACGGCGTCCCCGTGAAAACCAACAAAAAGGAAAAGAAGGAGAAGAAAGAAAAGGCCCCCAAGCCCGCTCCTGCCCCCGCTGCACCCCCGGCCCCATCACTGATTGACCTGCGTGTCGGACACATCCTGCGCGCGATCAACCACCCGAACGCGGACTCGCTGTACGTGTCCACAATCGATTGCGGCGATGCCCCCGGCAGCGAAAATACCTCTCTTGATGAGGAGACCGGCAAAACCGTGCGGACCGTGTGCTCAGGACTGAACGGACTGATCCCGCTGGAGGAGATGCAGGGCCGCAAGATCGTTGCAGTGTGCAACCTGAAGCCTGTGACCATGCGTGGCGTCAAGTCTTGCGCTATGGTTCTCGCTGCCTCCCCACGTGTTGCAGAGGGCGAGGACTCGCATGCCGGTCCCGTCGAGCTCGTTAACCCACCTGCCGATGCTCCTGCCGGTGAGCGTATCTGCTTTGAGGGCTGGAATGATGGCCAGCCTGAGAAGCAGCTTAACCCCAAGAAGAAGGTCTGGGAGACTTTCCAGCCGGGTTTCACTACCACTGCGGACCGTGAGGTTGCCTTTGACAGCAGTGCTGTTCCCTCTGTCCATGGACAGGAAGGCAAGCCTGCTCTTGGAAAGCTGGTTGCTGCCTCTGGTGGTATCTGTACTGTGAAAAGCTTGACTAATGCTACCGTGCGGTAAGGGTTGTGAAGGTGTTCGGTGTATCTGAGAATAAAACTAAACGCATACCCATGAGAATATGAAGAAATCAAAATTTCCAAGTTCATAAGTATTATTGTGCATCTTAATGGAGCTTCGTCTTGTGTCGCTATGGATTTTATTAAAAAATTGAACAAGATGGATTTGATTTTTCTAATCTGTACATCGCACCACTTGGGGAGCTGATAGATCTTAGCCTCTGTTGCTTAAGCAGGCGCCGCGAATCCCAGAGAAGGCCCTCGTTGATCAAAGACCACAAACAGTGCCTTCAAGAATACATCGCCATAGATCGCCATAGTTGAGCTTCCGCTCGACTGAAGGCCACCATAGCACACTATCCCAAAAAAAAGGTTAGATCAGATCTCACGCCACAAAACTTGGACGAGAAAGGAAAAACTCACCTGTTTCGCCAGTGGTTGTGTTGGTTCCGACCTCGGACCACTTCATGAACGATCCAGGGATGGTAACCAAATATCCGCTCCCAATCGCAATGGATAGGGTGGGCAAGCTCGAAGTGCAGGGGAAGATATACCCGTTGGCATTACTCGCGTACAATCCGCCATCAACTTGCTTATAATACGCGTCCGCAACCTCGGGGCTAACCATCATAAGCGAGGTGCCAGTGTCAGCGATGGCCTGGGGTGCCTGAGTGATCGGGTGCAAGGGACCTCCCCCTACGGCGTATTGTGCCGAGTCGAACTGCCAGAATCCATTGGATGAATCCACGCTGACATTGGCCAAAACGCCTTGGTATTTTTGGGGATCCACGGTTCCAAATTCGTACTCACCGACGCCGTTGCTGAGCAATCGAACGGTGAAGACCGGCTCGTCGAGGTTGGGGGCGACGTTGTCGAAGAACGTATTCTGTCGCTCTGGCGTGACAGTGTTGATTGAAGAAAAGCCAAGACCGACGAGTCCGTCAGACTTGATGTCATCGGCAAATGTTTGCGAAACATCCGTCGGAAGGCCGAATGATTGCCCGATGACTTTGACACCGCCAATCGAGACAACATCCTTCCCTACTCCACCATTGGCATATGACGAGTCACCGTATCGTATCTTGAATGTGCTGTTGACGAGTTCTTCAAATGTGCTGGAGTTGCTTGGTTCGTACACTGTTCGGCTATTTCGCAGTGGCTTTGGAAGTCTCGAGCTCAACACCCACCTATATGGCAATTGATTAGCTCGGTATATTCCTTTCGTCGGCTGGGGTATGAAGATCTATCGCTAGCCAGCCAATCCTCCAACGTAAGGAGCAAATTGGGGGAGGGGAGGGGACAAGAAGCTTACATATCAGCAGAGCCACTGTCAAAATTCATATCGAGGATTTGGCCTCCTATATTCACCGGCGAGACAAATTCTACGTCTCCATCAACAGAAGTGGTATCCACGGCACCGATTTGTTCAGAATCCGCCACATCTTCCTTTTCGATTTTCACAGAAGCGGTATGCTTCGTTTCGAAGGGCTGGAAGTCGGACACGTCCACCCCATTGAGGGCTGTTGTGTCAATTCCGAACTTGCGGTATGCCTTGCGCAATAATGCAGGTCCGTGGGCAATATGGTCACTGCGCTTGACTCTCTCCACCTTGAAGGACCGGCATTGAAGGTGTTTCGGAGGAGCCACGGGCATGGAAAGAGCGTTAAAGCTCAACGAAAAGAAGACAAGAAAACAAACGAACTGCATCTTGCCCCAAGCCCCAACTGGGGATATCAGAATCGAAAAAAAAGGGAGTGATTAAATCAGGACCAGCCTGAAGATTCGATATTAAGGAATGCAATGGACAAGAAACACAAGGATGATAGACAAGACAAAAGGAAGGTAAACTCTCAGCAGACCCTCAGATCTGCTAAAGGCAGGCTTGTTCTGAATGAATGGGAAGACAATGCCAATGTCTCAAAATGAAAGTCAGCAGGCAGTGGTCCAAACTGGAATACCTACATCCAATGGAAAAGAAAAGCGAATAATGCAATATGAACAATATGGACGATATGGACAATGCAGAAGAGCAACGACGAGAACAATAAGACCAAAAGCAACTTGAAGAGCAATAACAAGACAAGACAAAGTGAAACCTCATTGGAAATAACCCCCAAGGTAATAACGACCCGAACGCGGTACGTATATTGAAGCATAAGCGTTTCTGCTCACCTTGGGCACATCCACCTATCGGAGGCAAGTGCGGTCCTGTCCCCTGGCCCAGGGCATGGTTCACGGCAGACTCGGTCCAAGACCTATCCTCCATAGACCCGGGGATATGTCAGGTCTAGGTAAGGGGGCTCGTAGCGCCGGACCTGAATGGGACATGGTATGGAGTAGAGTACGTAGATATCTATATGTGGATTACCCTGCTACTCCGTAATTTGTTTGTTACGCAACGTCTTAAATTAGTGGGGGGATTGTTCTGCTGGTTTTGATGTATGAGACCTTAGGCCCTTCATCTTGAAACAAGGGCCCGCGGGTAGAGACCCAATCATGTATGCTGTCCGACTTACTTGAAACATATTGGAAAGGTTATAGAGATTGCTCATTGTGGCAGTGTGGCTTGGATTTTTTTTTTAGCTTGGCTTTTCCGGTAGTCTGGAAAAATGGCATTGCGTTGGCATAGAATGAATGGCATATTCGCCTCACATTGATCTGCAGGCGATCGAGCCGTTGAGACAATTGTTAATCAGAGTTCCGATCCTAAATTGTGGGTAGCACATGTTGACGGGTACCAGTTTTTCTGCAAGCTATTTGTTCTCTCAGCCAGACAAATGTATCTCCTTACACTTACAATCATATCTTTCTGTGAAGACAGGGCCAAAGAAACTTCAAATCTCAACACCTACTAGCCTTGGCATACTGCCCAGCCAATGCAAAGATCCGAACCAGAGTGACATCGAGACGCGAGTGAAGGACCATATGTTTGGCATTGAATCGGGGCAGATTGCGCGGAAACACATCTAGATGGCCAGCAGCAAAGAAAGCAAATCGGAACGCATTCTACACCCTAATCATGCCAGAGTCGCAAGATAAAACGAATTAGAGATGTGATTGAACGTGATAGTAGGCAAGAATCAAAGTAAATCAACTTCATACAATGTCATAACTCTGCGAGAGTTTCCAATAAAAGTAGTAACAGAGATAAGAACCAAAGAAGAGATGAAAGGAGAGTAGTAATGAAAGCATTTTAGGTGCATGATGGTCTAGACTCGCATACCGCGAGAGACCCCAAGGATATCGATTTCAAACAGAAACAACTCCACATCCCATGGTTTCACTACCATACCCAACCAGCCACATACCAGTAAGCAAGGAAGTGTTGTTCACTAATCCCCAAATTCCATGTACAGAGAAACAATCCGTAAAAGATGAGAAAAGTAGAAGATAACAAAGCAATAAAAAAAAGCAACCCAAGATATTCAACAGTGCCCAAGCAATGCAGACGTGTATCGTTTCCGCCTCTAGATCCTTGAAAATGATATCCATTCCCGCCCCGGTAAAAAAAACCCCCCAAAGAAAGAGATCATAGAAAGAAAATAAAAAAAAGGCGCCGCAGCATAAGTGTATCTGGCAAAGTCATTTGCACGCAAAACCCTCACAAGAAAAAGGTAAAATCAACTCCAAAGGTCATGAACATGCAACGTCAAGTAGCAATGTCACTGCACGTGTGTTCTGTACATCATCGGTGGCCCGACCGGAAAAAAGAAACATGGGCCGAAGAAAGTATTCGTCCCTCCCTGAGAGACGAAAGAGGTATCGTAGGAAATGGTATTGAATCGCAGGCGCCGTCGCTCGCAACAAGCTAAGAGTGTTGCAAAGGATCTAGAATATGAGGCGAAGGTGGTCGTAATCGGCGAGGAGGAGTGGGTATGTACATGTCGGTTTTTTGTTTTCGAATTTTTGAAATTTTTTTGGTCGCCGTGTTTGTGGAACAAATTATTTTTCCAGGTTGTGTGTCGTGTCGAATGCAATAGACGTATCGAACAAGAATGCAAGTGGAGGAAAAAAACATTAGGACCTGCGAGTAAGGGACCCTGATGATGCAGAACAGCTGTAATAACGGACGTGCAATAGACAGATGGAGATGTAGGGTGCCGGCCTACGACTTTGGCAGATGGCACCCTTACCATCGACGCTGAGCAGTCTGCATCATCGCAGGCGAGATCGATGAAGGTGGGCTCGACAGGGTCATTCCGGTCGAGGGGTTAATGATCGGAATGACCTTACGGGTCCGGTTCGCAGGCTGCTGTTGCTGGTAGTTGACATGATTAGGGTTGCCGGCAACACCAGGGTGAACATATGAGTTGGTTTGGGCCGGGGACAAAGAGATGGACGGGGTCACCTGCTGCACCGGTTGGATTTGGTGCTGCATGGGCGAGGTGTCCGGTGAGCCGCTGGAAAGAGAAGAGCGGTCGGAAGCAGAGTGGATGGAGTGCAGCTAGAAATAAGAACATGTCAACAAAACTGGCCCCCTTGTGGTGTATCCGAATTGAGATTTGTGACGATCTTGAAAGGGGTAGACGAATTAGGGGGTTGAAAATTCGCCAATAATGACATACATCATCCTCAGTCAGGAGACCAGGGCAGAACTCCAGGTCGTCATCTAGATCAAAGGACCGACCAGCCTCGAATCTTGCACGGAAGGCCGTCACAGCCGGAGCTTCCGCCAATTCCCGCATACTTTTGACTCCTCGGAACTGACGCTGAGCATTCTGCGAGGCCATCTTTGGGGCACGACGAGAGCGCCCATGGTGGGTATTTGATGCAGATTGCATATGAGCACCATGGTGAGGGTGTTGCTGGTGTTGCTGGTGTTGGTTATAGAAGTAGGCAGACATTGTGTTGTTGTGAGAAGCCAGCAGCTAACAGAGAGAAGAGGGAATATAAGACGGAAGTCGAAAAAAAAGATGAATATAGAAAATAGAGGAAAGAACGATGGGATTGAAAGATGAAGGATTAGTGAGAATGGGAGTGTGTGGGAAGAGGCGAAGGGAAAAAGAGGGGAGGGGTGTGCTATGGAATATGGTTACTACTATTACCATTCAATACCTTTCAATACCATTTTAAAGGGGCATGGAGTGATCAACCTTAATAATTACCGTTATGTATTGTCCGTCATAAAAAGACACTTACATCGACGCACCAACCAGACCAAGGCGCTGACAGAGTGGCAATTGCTTCATATCCAATGAGAACTCGCAGATCCTCTTAAAATGGGACCTTCAACGGCCCACCAAAATACTGGAAAAACGTGACGTCGTCGACAATTGGAACGTTCCCCGATTAGGAAAATCTCTTAGTGATGACCGCCACTGCCTACATACCAAGGGCCATTGGGCGAACTCTACCTAAGACTTTACTTAGGCCCTAGAACAATGATGATTGTTGCATTTTTTGGGGGACTTTTGTTTTTCATCCAGATCCAACACTGCTGAATTGCCAACTTTTACTTGAGGTCTGATCGACAATAAATGCAGTGAAGCTATCCGGAAAAGTAACTCCCCAGACTCCCGTTCCTCATCGGGGGCGGTTGGGGAAGTTGAAATATTTCTTAGCCCCTCGGGTCCCCTTTTTGCTGTAGGCTGTGCAGGGCATAGCTCTCCCAGGCACATTCCCCTCTATGCCTCCTATAGGGTGCCCGAATCGGCAGTGGCTGCTGATCTTGCGTTTATCGGCTCCCCGTACGGAGTACGGCGTATGAAAATCCCAATCCTTCGAGACGTAGCGCAAAGACCCCCGAGACAAAGAACCTTGTTGGTCTCGAGACACACCCACGGCACTAGCTGCAGATGAACCCGCCTATCATTGGCAGGGGGCTTTGAGATCCTACCTTGTCAGCTCCCACCATTTGAAATTGAGTTCATCAATGCGGAATCCGGACTAGGATAGGGGGGCCTCAGGCGCCTTTTCGCTTTTTCGCTGGGTAGCAGTGCCTACCCACGACTCGCTACATTTTCCCGACCGAATAAAAAATCCCCTGTGAGTTTCCACTCTTCAACGTGTGGTATTTGACGTTAGACCTGGGACCTATTTCCGTATTATCTATTTATCGTGGTACTTTGTTCCTGAGTGGGATATGCCCTCGAACAGGAAATGCGCTCTCAGCGCCTATGTTGTACTGGAACACAACCCTGTGATATTTGAGGTGCCGATCTTCCATCTCCCACCAGTGATAACTTTCAGTCTATTCAACGGCGCCAAAAAGGATCAAAGCCCAAACTCTCCTAGAAACATCGTAGCACAGTAGGCTGTCTCTCGAGTGTTCGGCTTCACCGCCCCTTTTTATCTGGGACACAATCTCACGAGGCGCAGTCGCACGCACCTGCCGAGGTCGGATATGTCACATGTAGTGCCCCGTAAACGTTGCCCCGAAGCTTGAATTATGCAGCTGATCTATCTAACATCTATGCAGCGTGTATACTTTGGTATGTGCGTGAGATCTCGGGTCCCACTGCATGGAATATGTAATTCAGTGAGGGACTACTCCGTACTTTGTACAGTCTCCTGCGATCCGATCCCCAGATGCGCTGCGTAAGGGACTTGCACACACGATCTTCAACCATTCTAGTCGCCCTGGTTGGATTACAAATATGTGAGATCTATTGCATCGTGGCAAATGTTTCTGTGCTTCAAGTCGGAAGGTGGTT